TTTCTTCCGCTGCTCAAATTGCTGATCTATTTACTAAAACCCATCTTCCTGGTCGTTTTCATGAGTAACTTTCCAAACTCTAGTTGGTCTCTTTGAAATCACCTTGAGTTTGAGAGAGACTATTAGTAAATATATATTTTGTATATACATTAGGATTAGGATTTACATTATATCATAATATTAGGATTCTTTTTCGTTTAGGATTCTCTTTTTTGTTCACCACTCTTCCTTGTCTATATATATGGGCCTTCATTGTATTGTATTGATATATACACACAATATTATTCAATATACTTTTTTATTTCTCCAATTGTGTTAGCAATAAATATGTTTTAATTTTAAAATCTTAATTTGAAAATCGTCATTGTTAAATAACTCAAAACATCTAAGATTTACACAACCATTCTTGGGCTAGCATTAGATTGATCTAAGTTCATGTGAAGCTAATTTCAATTTATACGGTAATACATACAAGAATGTGTGGGTTCTACAATTAAGTCCACTCATTGTTGGTTACACTCCTTGTAACCAAGCATTCTTGGAAAAAATCAATTCACAGAACGGTTCATTTTTAAATACAAAAACTTAGGATCACGTAATAATCAGTACACAAGAAAGAAATCTCAAGTTGTAAAACACATAATATAAGCTTAATCAAGTGCAGTTGCCTATTACTAAAGCTTAATCATGCACAAAATTGAAACAACTCACAAACATTGCATCACTAACACTACTTTGACAATGCGCTACATACATAGTAAGAGTTGTGATGTGTGTGCACGTGCGCGCGCGAAAGAGACGTAGAGAGCGAAAGGATTCTTAATCCAATCAGCCATTCAGTTTAATTTTCTTGTTCTCCTTACAAAAAGATTGCAATTAAAATAAACTATGTTCCGTAAATGATAAGAAAGAAAAACAAATCAATTAAGGGGAAGCCAAAACAAAATGCTCTGAATGCGCACGGTGAACAGTGAACAAATTTAACTCCATAAAGTGATCCTAGCGTCAAGAAAAAATTCAGTAAAACACAAGATTAGCATCAGGAAGTTGGACAATAGAATGGTAGTAGCATTGACAACATCGGGCAGCATACCTTTCACACTATCCGCTCCAACTCCCTTGCATAGCTGAGTGCCTGATTGATGAGTTGCAGAAATGGTATCTCCTTGCAAGGTGCAGATTCTTTTGCCTTTTGAAAAATCACAAACCCGTTCTTTATCTTCCACTCAGGATGTTCCTGCAAATTGCATATAAAATGATGCTTATCAAAGAATCCTTGCATTGGACACCAAATCAAGAATGAGGCTTCCATGTTGGTGGATTTTGGTATTATCATTAATACAAGGTTAATATGCTATCACTTAAGTATAGAATGATAAACCATGAATAATGCATATATTGCAACTCCACAAAGCCCTTGCATCTGGGCTCTATTTGATTCATTGATTTGGTGATTAAAAAAAAAAAGTAAAGGAAAATAGAAGGAAAATCATTTTTCTTCATTTCGTAAACTTGGAAAATATTGCAGAAAAGAAAACATGGTGAAAAAAAGGAAGAAATGTCAACTTTTAAATATCATTTTTTTTCCTTCTTATTTTTGATTTCTTACCATTTCTTACCATTTCTAAAAGTGAAATTATTATATATATATATATTTAAATTGATTAATCTAAACTTGAATAAATATTTTTTGTGTCAAAAGTTCAATTTGGGTTGTATCAAAATTTTGACTTTTATGCTTTGAAGACGATGTCAAAAGAAAGGGAAAATGATGTAAAAAGAGGCTGTATTAATTGAAAATACTAAAAATGATAAAGAAATTACAATGCACCTTAACAAACAAAATGTGGATTGCAGGTTTCTTGCAACAATTGCACTAACGCTTGTGTTCAACCTATAACCTGTATCAACTAATGATGATGCCTTATGGGCATGTTTGTATGGATGTTTGATAAATAATTGCAAACATTTACCTAATTCTGTGTATCATCTGAATTTTTTTACAAATATATTTTAGTGGACAATAAAGAGTGCCTAACAGGGAACTTATTGAGAATATAATTAAGTGCAAGGGAATAGTTGAGAGGGAAAAGGTGGGCTTGTTTAGAAGTCTGTCAAGGAGCATTTAAGCGGTAGGGAGGTTGAAGAGGCATGTGCCTAAAGAGGCAAAATGACCTTTGAAAGGATTAATTCATTTGTAACAGAGATAATTGGAAAATTCTATTTTCAATCACCAATTTTTCTCACTACACACACTTAATGAAAAAAAACTTTAATTACATTTTTATCCTAAATTAAAAATACCAAAATACCCTTTATTTTCCACATCCAAGTGCCTAATTTCTAAACCACCCAAAAATTTCTAACCCTAACCAATTGCTGCACCACCGTTGGCCTCCTCCCTTGATCACTTCAACTATTCTCCGTTAACTCTGTCACCCCGTGATGGCCCATACCTACAGCCCCTACTGTTGTGATCTCCGCCATCAGGATCACGCCTTCCATCACTGACACCATCATCGGCTTCACCCCAACACACACTCCCTTCTTCGTCGTTGCGTGTCTCTCACTCTTTTCTTTTGCAACTCGCATCTCTATTCTTCTGCAACTCGAGGAAGAACGGTGTTAACTAGGGAGAAAGAACGGCGCAAACCCTAGATCTAGGACTTTTAGAGAAGATAAGAAGAAGAAGAATGAGATGGGATGGAAGGTTGTGGCAATGATGGCGTTGAGGTGGTGGAGGGAGGAAGAGGGTGGGAAAGGGTTTGGGACCGAGGCAGGTGGAGTGAGGAGGAGATTTATCAGAGAAGAATGAGGAGGAGGCGATGACGATGGGCTACAACGGTGGCTAGGGTGGAGGTGGCGACAGTGGCTAGTTAGGGTTAGAAATTATGTTAGAGTTAGAAGGATGAAGAAGAGGGTATTTCTGGTATAATGAGTTGTGTACTGCGTAAAACACTTTTTTTTTTTCAAATTCATAGTGTGTGAATTAAGATATGATATGCACAGAATAAAAGAGTGGAAATAGAATTACTCGAGATAATTGGCTTGAATACTTTTGGATTGAAATATTTTATCTAAGAGGACATTTTGGGGAAATTAGATGGGCAACTTAAATGCTTTTAAAGAACTTGTATAAATCAAATTAACCTACTCATGTTGTACAAAATACACTTGCTCAACTATAATCCTATAGGTTTAATTTTTGGAGCAAGTTGAAGGAAACAAGGGAACATGGGAGGAACGTACTTAATTGACTAATTGTAGAAAGACACAAAATCTTATTTAAGTAGTTAGGCTGTGTTTGGATCATAAATTTGAATAGGGATTTGGAAGGGAGGAGGGGGGAAACAATAGGGGAAATGTGAATGATATAAAAGTTAAATTTTTTCTCCATTTCCTTCACCTTTTCCTTTCCCTTTCTACATCCCTACCTAAGTCAATGATCCAAACACATGCCCTGTTTATTTACCAGATATAAAGGCCAGATATGGCTGGGGGACTGGATATAATATGAGATGGGTCCCATATGTTTTTTTTGTCTCCCTATATCCTGTGTTTGGTTGCTCCGGATATAGGGAGTTCGGATAGTATATGATGCAAAAGGGGAGGAAATGCAATACCACCCCCCATGGTATTGTATATCCCCCACCGTTGGATATAGCTCATCATTCATCCAAATGTCAAAAATAATTACTCTCCTCTTATCCTATACTATATCCTATCTTAACTAAATATAGTATAAGTAACCCCATAGTATATAGGACTGGGGGTCCCTGTTGTGGAGAATTCACAGCCGTGACTGTTGTGACGTAAAACGCCACCGTTTTAATTTTTTTTTTTAATTAATGTGAGGGTTTATTAATTATTCTCTCACTATAACAAACAAAACAATAAACCTAGGGCCGCCACCGTCATCACTGTAAGCAAAAGGTCTCTATTGACATGGATTAAAAGGTTAGTTTTTATTTTAATTTTTTTATTTGTCTGCCAAAACATTTTTGTACAAGGCCGCCGCCGTCTTCACGGTAAGCAAAAGTCTCTATTGACATGAATTGAAAAGTTAGTTTTTATTTTTTATTTTTTTATTTTCTAACATTTTTGTCTTCTCTCAAACAAATTGAACAGTGTTCTCTATTTCTGCTTCACCGTTCTTCTGCTGGATTTACAGACCATTATTGTTCAACAAACTGGTATGTATATCTATATATATATTATATGTATATATGTTTTGCATTTTATTTTGTACAGTATGTTAGTGGGTTGAACAAGTATAATAGTTTGATTTGTTTTTTGTGAATGGATTGAGAAACACAATTGTATATTATAAGAAAATTTTTTTATTATGTAATTTGTTTTGTACATATTATATATTTTTGTATAAATATTATATAATTTTTTTAAGGAGTTACGATAATTTGTAATTCATAATTATTTTTTTTATAGCAATGTTATGTATTTTTGTGGAAATATTACACATTTTTATAACAATGTTATTTATTTTTGTAATAATGTTATGCATTTTGTGGTCTAAAAAAAGTTTCAATAAAAAAATCTATAATCTTACTATAAAATGCTAATTTAATTTTTTAATCATAAATTGTTATAACTCAATAAAAAACGACATAACATTTGTAACAAAAATACAAAACATATATCAAAAATTTATATAATAAGAGAGCATATGATTCATATCTTTAAGCGTGTCTGCCAAAAGATTCCCTATATTATATAATATACTAATTCTAATATAATTTTGCAATTGTATATTATAATCTACTCAGATACAATAAATTTCTAATGTTACTGTACAAATTACACATCTTTTTTTCCCTCTCCCCTATCCTTTTAATTAATTTACATTATTAATTGATTTATTTGATTTCATTGAATTATTTAATTACTCAGCATTTAAAATTAATTAATAACTTTTTTGCTCAGATTCTTGTTTCGTTTAATATATATATATATATATTTTCCCCATATTTGTTAATGTTGAAATGGAGGATAGTATAATGGATGATGGTGGACTTAAGGGATGCATCGAAGAAATGGGAGAGTTGGCCAAGGATAAATCACCATATCTTGGTATGGAGTTTTCATCAGAAGAAGCTGCATATGAGTTTTATAATGAATACGGAAGAATTGTGGGGTTTAGTATTAGAAGAGATTATTGTAACAAAAGTCAGAAAGATGGTGATATGACTAGTAGAAAGTTTGTTTGTTGTAAGGAGGGAGAGAGGGAAAAAGATAAACGGTACACGATGATAAAAAATCCTCGAAGTGAGACAAGAACAAATTGTAAAGCATTTATGCGTATATCTTTTAAGCGGGACTTGTCGAAGTGGATTGTGTCGAAGTTTGATTGCAACCACAACCACCCTTTGCATCTTCCTCAATGTACTCATTTGATGCCATCTCAGAGAAAGGTATGTGATGCTCAGGGTATAAATATTGACATAGCTGATGAGAGTGGAATATCTCTTAAGGCTTCACATGATCTTATTAGTGCTATAGCAGGAGGGAAGGAATTTGTAGGGTTCACGCGAGAGGATCAGAAAGCCTACTTACGTGCAAAAAGACAGCGAAACTTGCAATATGGTGAAGCAGGGAGTTTGTTAAGATATTTCCAGCAGCAAGTGGCAGAAAATCCATATTTTTACTATGCCATTCAGTTGGATGTAGATGAGATGATTACTAATATTTTTTGGGCTGATCATCAGATGATAACAGATTATGGGCTTTTCGGTGATGCGGTGTCATTTGACACAACTTTTCGAACAAATAAAGAGTACCGTCCACTTGCTTTATTTTGTGGCTTTAACCACTTTAGAATGACAGTGATTTTTGGTGCAGCATTATTATATGATGAAACTGCAGAGTCATTTGAATGGTTATTTGAAACATTTTTGGATGCAATGTCAGGAAAAAAACCTGTTAGTTTTTTCACAGATCAAGATCAAGCAATGGCTAAGGCAATTTCACAAATCATGCCTGAGGTTTTTCATGGGTTGTGCACTTTTCACCTAATGCAAAATGCTTTAAAGCATTTAGGTTACTTGTTCAAGAGTGGTTCAAAATTTAGTAGCGATTTAAAAGCTTGCATTTATGACTACGAGAATGAGCATGAATTAATTGAAACTTGGAATTCTTTAATTGATAAATACAATTTGCAAGAGAATGAGTGGATGAAAAGAACTTGGAGAAAAAGAGAGCAGTGGGCGCATGTGTATATGAAGTGGGTATTTACTGGAGGAATGCGAAGCACACAACTTAGTGAAAGTCTAAATGGAACATTAAGGGGATATTTGAAGGGTGATCATAACATTGTTCAATTCTTTACTCACTTCAATCGGATTGTTGTAGATAAGCGGTATGAGGAAATTTCCGCAATATATGATTCTAGACAAAAGTTGCCAAGAATGAAATTGAAAAAGTCTCCCATTTTAATCCAAGTTACGAGTTTGTACACCCCTCCTATCTTTGATTTATTTCATTGTGAGTTGGATACGTCCCTTTGTTGTCAAGTGAAGCAATTCCATGAGTTAGAAGGAGAAGTTAAGTGCGTGATTGGCTTGTATGGTAATGGTAAAGAGTATATTGTGGAGGGTAGGGTGGAAGTTATTGGGCTAAGAGGAGAAAAAAGCTGTCGAGAAATACATTGTACTTGTAAGAAATTTGAGAACTTCGGAATTTTGTGTAGTCATGCAATCAAAGCACTTGATAGAATGAATGTTATGGAAATTCCTGAAAGGTATATATTAGGCCGATGGAGATTGGATGCAAAAGATTGTGAAATTGAAGAGAAAAATGTTGTAATGGATGAGGATGATCCGAAGTTGTTAATATTAGCACGTTATAGAGATCTTTGTCCAAGAATGGTGAAACTAGCAACTCAAGCATCTATGCACAAACCTGCCTATCAATTAGTATCACTTGGTTGATGAAGGAATTAAGGAATTATGTGTAAAAGTAATAATATGATTAAGGGATTGAAATTTTGGTACCAATGAATTAGATGTGGACGACCCCAACTTTGCACAAGTTAAGGGCATAAAGAAGAAAGATGTTGGACACAAAGGGAGGGGTAGATTAAAACCTTGGCATGAGATGATGAATAAGAAGACAAAAGTTATTTCACAACCTACCCGCCTTAGTAAGGTATTACCTACGTACTTTTGAAATTTCAAATGACATGTATTTATTTTTATAAATTGTGTAAAGTATTGATACTTTTTGAATTTCTTTAGAATTGGTCAATCAAGCAACACTACAAATGTTCAAAATTCATCCTCAAGCCAACAACAGGTTAGCTATTGTTTTATGTTATTTATTTATTTATTATTATTATTATTATTATTTTATAAATTGTGTAATGTATTGATAAATTTAACAACTTATGTAGACTATTGGTCAATCAAGCAATATCACAAATATTCAAAATTCAACTTTAAGTCAACCACAGGTTAGCTCTTGTTTTATGTTATCTTGTTTATTTTTAGACTACATTGTATTAGTGTATTTACTTTTCATGGTGTCTATGGAGTAGGATGGTGGGAGTCTCTATTGGCCACAATTGATAACTTATGGGTATAATCTTCTCACATGATACTAATTCATACTCACCAAGGTATCCACAATCACAACCTTTGTCTTTCCAAGCATCACATAGTCCACAAAGTTCTCAAGTAAGTTAATATATATATATATATATATATATGTTTGTAATGTAATTTAGTCCATAAAATTTATTCTAATGAATTTTCTTTTCTTTTCTTTTCTTTTCTTTTTTTTATGGGAATATCACTTAATCCGGTGGGGCACAATCCAATGGAGACCGAATTTAGAAATGAGAGTTCTTTCGATTTTTCTATTTATTCCCAACCGCCTCCACAAAATTGACATGGGGATCCACTTTGTAGTTTTTGTTTTGAGAATTCAATTGAAGGTTTTTAGAATTTTGTTTGGATAATTTAGATAGGTTGAGACAGATTTTGGGATATTTGGTAGGAGTTTTGAAGTTTAAATGTCTCAGAATTTTGTTTTATTTTTTTTTTATATAGATGTTGGATGTGAATTGAATATATTTTGGCCTTAAGTTGGTTTTTTTTTTTTTTGAAGTTACTTTTTTTTTTCCTTATGGTTTGATAAATGATTTGTTCAAATACAATTTTTTTTCCCTTTCAATTTCACTTTTGATGCATTTAAGTCAGTTTTGAAAAAGTCAAAACATGTATGGTTTGTTTGATTTTAATTTTAAAATTAATATTTTTAAAAAAATACAATTTGGTTTCATAAATTGATTTGTTCCATGAATTATTTTTATTTTATTATATTTTCTATTTATAAAAATTTTTTTTTTAACACAAACTCACCCCCTTCAACTTTACAGGACCGCGGGACCCAGAAGATGGCTCTGTCCCTGTTAGGTTTATTGTTTTGTTTGTTATAGTGAAAGAATTAATGAAGAATTAATGAACCCTCACATTATTAAATAAAAAAAATTAAAACGGTGGCATTTTACGTCACAGCAGTGACCCATCCTCCATAGTATATATAATCCATCTCATATCCTATAACATATTATATCCTATCCTTATTCTTAGGTATTACATATACTCCTCAAACTCTTATATCCAATCCAGACACTCAAATGGGACCTCAGTGATACAAAGCTAGGTAAGAACAAGCTTGCAACAGTTATACGAGGGTCGATGACTGTTAGTCAATATGAACTAGAGTAGTTTAGATAATTCTAGAGTGCAGTAGAAGTCAGAGGTGTATCCTAGAATATTCTAGAAGCAAATTTATCACACTATTTTGTGGATGAGGTTTTGTTTCTAAACAATTGAGTAAGTGAGTGGTTAAGCACTACACGAGGGATTTAGTGAGACGTGTCTAAAGTCTTGTGTGAGGAAGGTACAAGGTCTGAGTGTAAGTGCTTGAATGTATTATGTGACGAATAAGTGATGTGTATTAGTGTGTGGTTGTACAAGTGTACTTGAGTGTTATCAATAAATGTTATATTTTTGGGTCCACTAGTGTGTCAAACTCAACAATATGATATCAGAGATTGGTCGTTCAGGGGCCGACCAAAAAAAAAAAAAAGATTGAAATTGATACATGAGATTGTTGAAGTCGACGAGCACAATTGTTATGTCGGATTTCAGAAACTTCATCGGATGTATAGAGAAATTAATTGTATAATTATGACTTGGAAAATATGCATAAAGGCATATCTTCAAGGTCAAGATCTATGGGAAATCGTTGATGGCAAATATTACTCCACCTGAAGAAGAAAATGCAGAATCCTTGCGAAAGTGGCGAACCAAGGCTAGAAAAGCGATACGT